ATTTTCTTCAATTTATAAAATCTCTTCTGCCTGTGGCTACTGTTTTCCCCTAGTAGTTCTAGTTCTCTACTGCTGTTTTTTGCTTCCTGCCTATAGTTTTCACTGACAGAGCTGATCCAAAAGGACCAGACAAAATCTGCCACGTCACTTATCTCTGAAGTGACACTACATCATTAGTAGTCTAGGAGCAGATTCAAGGGGGCTAAGAGGAACAAAGGATGCCAGCCTCTTGTTTTAACTAGCGCAGGAAAAAAAACCCACAACCATGGAAGACTGAAAAAAATAAGAATTCTTTTCTTGAGAAATTTTTATTTTCTCTACAAATTTGGAATTTCAGTTACTTGACACTTTTTGTGAACAAGCGTGGTGGTACTAACACTGAAAACCTACTGAAATTATTTTTACCAATCCACTTGCAGATAAGCCATTAGTTCCACAGTGATAGCCAAAATAAGGATGATTTTCCTTAAAGTTATTTTTCTGTACACTTCTTTGTACAGGTATCTGGCATAACCACTTACCCCAAACTATTAAGGCAACACAAAGTTCTGCAATTACAAAATAAGGGGAAAGTAAGATACCAGAGTAGTTTTCCTACAAACAAAGTTTCCTGGAGGAACATCTGAGAGAGAAGTTTACATACACACAAAAGTATGCTAAGACGCGCACACACACCAGACAAAGTTCTTGAATACCATACTAAAGGTTAAGAGACTGTAATGTGATCTTTCATGGAAGTATATGGTAAAGCTGACAGCCCCAGAAAAAAAAAATACCTCCAAGAAGTTTACTTGGTTGGTTATGGACACAGTATGATTTTGCCAAGAGGCAACACACAAAGATGGACAGCTGTAATAAGCCCTTGCCTCTTAAAGCTAATTTTATGGTAGTCTATATACCATCCTCTCAATTTTTAGCACTGGCATCTAAAGCTTTGAGTTTTAAAGGGGTTAGGCATTCATAATTCCACATGAAGTCAGTAAGAATTCAGCAGCTTATGAGCAAAAGGAAGAGTGTGCCTTCTCTATCTTTTACAATGAGTAAGTCTGATTCCCTGAAAGTTCCAATTTTTGGTTTTAAGAATGAACAAATGAATTTTTATGCTGGTATGGACCACTAATGGTCTCAAGACTCCCATTTCTTACTGAGATGGGTTTGAATTAGCATGAGGCCTAAAACAACTTACTTCATTCTGATGAATTTAATTCTGCATGTTTCCTTATTTGTGTCTTTTTACTCTTTAGAGAGAGAATCGTTCAAGTACATTTTAATTTCCCCTGCACAACTAGGAAAGGTCTACATTTTCTTAAATTTAATAGTCCATTTAAAGTCCTCAACAGGTAAAAGTTTGCTTTTTTGCTGGAGACCATCCATCATGTTCCAAAGAGCAATTAAAAATATTTTTAGGAATGGATGTATTACTATAAATGGCTTTAAATTAGAAAATATGGTCTTCAACTTGTAAGTGAAGGAAAAGAGAAAAACTTCAATATTTCCATGCACCAGTTCTCTATTTTTGGTAAATGCTTTTCTTAAATAGATAACGTACAAAGGTCTTTTTTGACGAGGCTGATAGATTGTGTGCAGAGACTAATGAACAGCTCTTTCAGGGAAAGTAAAAAAGAAAGTAATGCTGTACTTACCTCTGCTAAATCACAATATTTTTGTGTTCCAGCTGCTTTTAAATATACTGCTAACTTAAACCCTGTCCCCCTTCAACCAAAATGGGGGGGGGGAAAGAAATTTGGAATTAAAATTTTTTTTTTAAACTGAACAAAGACAAAATAAAAAAGCCTCAGATATGAAGAATCCTGAATGCTCTTTTCATCTTTCCAAATCAGCTACTGTGGTATCTTCTTAATTTATGTTTCTAGTTTCAACCAGCATATTGACTAAGGTTTCAATATTGATTTCTAGTGAGGGAGGGGAAAAAAAACAACTTAGGTCATTAGCTCATTTTCTGTTAATTTTACACAAGTTTATAACTGAAAGCATGTTAAAAATTGAAGCTTTAAAGTAACAGCTAATTTTAGCAGAGTCAAATTGTTTGCGCTATAATCAAAACAATGCTGATACAATAGTGATGTGCATTCAGTTATTCTTGAAATTATTTTAGGAAAGCGTTTCATGAAAGAATATTTTTCTGCTACTTAAAACACTCCAAGATATACACACACTTTTGCCTATGAAAAATACCAATTCAAATATTGTACATTTATCAAAAGAATCTCAAAACAGCAACTTCCATTTTTTCATTTTTAGTAGTACAGATTCTTTTAAATCCTATTACTCCTTTATGTATTTTTCACACATTTGAATTGTCAAATATCACCATCTTCTGTGTAGAGGATTGTACAACTCCATGTTTTTAATAAGTGTCAGGACATCGGTGCTCTAGCAGCCATCCTGATGATACAGCCTCCCTGAACCCCCGAGTATGTTGGCTGGATTATGAAATTTACATGATCAACGGCAACCTGACCCAGTACAAGTCTTCCTGTTTACCTTAGGTAAGGTATTTTCCCATTTTATTGAGAGTCACTCAACCACAGGTATAGCAAGTGATCAGGACAATTTCTTTAGAGTAATATTTAGTGCCACTCCCCTGATCTGCTTGTGTAGGAAACCAGAACTTTACTAGTGCCAAATATCTTACTTTGAAGTACTGGATAATATGGAGTCAGCTGCTTAAACACACTGGTCATTGTAGGCATGTCTTCTCTTTCAGATCTATCCACAATGTTGGGAGAAAGACTGGAACTATCTCCATCAAAGTTTAGTTCTGACTCTCTACTTGGCTGATAATCCCTGTACAAGTTGCTCCTAGAAAAGGAGTAATCACATGAGCTTGAGTTAGTCCTGAAGTGTGACTGCTGATATCTGGATTTCTGGTAACTGGATTCTTGTGACCAGCTAGAACCACCTCCTAAAGAAAAAGCAGAATTTGTTGAAGCATGGCTGTAGTAAGGGGAAGAGTCTTTTACAGCACAGTTCTCTGAATATCCTCTAGGCGGTGATGATGGGTACATCACAGAGGAATTGGAATATGATGATCCTTGATCAGGAAAATTCCTTATATTCCTGAATGTTTCTCGATTCCTCCAGTTCGTACTTTCAGCACCAAAGGTCATTCTGTCAGGTAGTTGCGATTCATTTCCTTCGGCATCATTACAGTAGCGTTCTCTTGAATACGCACTCATTGAATACATGGAGTTGTTGGAAGGAGTGCCTCCAGCTGAAGTGGATGGGAAAACAGATTGATCTACCTTCTTCATCCATTCACTGATTCCAGTAGCAAAGCCTCCAGTTTTAAGGGCAAGAGAGTTACTGAGTGCAGACATGCTTGCAGAATCATTAGCTCTGTGTCCATAAGCAGATGATCCACCACTTGTTTTGTAATTGTATGAACTGGAAGGTGTCAGTGAAGTGTTTGCAGAATATTGTGATGTAAACTTTGCCTGTTCAGATCTTTGAGGTGAAAAGCCTTGGTTCCAGTTGGCATTTCCTGAAAAGGTATAGAACATAGATGAACTATGAAGACACTGTTAGAAAGTGACCATAAAGTAAATCCATTATGGAAGAACCAGCTTTCTTGAAGTGAAAAGCTTTTTTTCTTTCTATTTTCTACCTTCAAACTCCTCTTCTAAACCCTGACTCTTGGCTCTCAAATGGCTACAGATCTCTATTCTGCACCTACATAGAACAGAGTGCTTGTTGTAGAGCAAGGTATTATTGCAACTGTTAATGCAGCACCTCACACTATCGTCTTCAAAGCAACTCAGTAGTTTAACGTTTTATTTACTAAAATACAAAGGGAATATGCATTTTTTCACAGCAGCTTTTAAAACTCATTACAAGCTCCTTATTTTCTGTCTCGCTATCAGGTGCTGAATGTGTACTTACTAGGTAGGTAAAACGTTAAGCAACGTTTACCAGCTGTTGCCTTTTCATGTTTTGACAAGGCAGTTAAAATTAAAGAATAAAGCAAGAAAAGTGGGTGAATAAAACTGACTCAAACCAAATCAAATCACTACAATAATTTGAATTGCATGCACACTAGCTACATACAAGCAAGATGAGCATTTTTTTAGCTCTTTGAAACTGTTTTTAGTTATGTTCCTGCACCTATCACACTTTTTTGTGATGCAACTGTTTCAGTTGGGCAAGGGGGGGGGTGCTTTTTATTTTTATTCCTAGGTGAACAATGGTAGTGCTTTCCCTAAGAAGATAACCTGGAATGCAGTAAATTAAGAAACAACCAACTAACCTCAAAATCACAAACACCTGTGAAATAAGTTGTGACCGGATGAGCAACGTAAGTTTACCAGCTAACAGTAATGTGCCCAGAAGGATAACAGACATTTAAGCATCCTATAAATTAAATAAGTGAAATTATTTGAAGACCCCTAAAGTGAAGAACAATTGCCTGTTTCTGAAACACAGCATTTAGAAATGGGTGCCCAAGACTGACTTCACACACAGTGATTTCATAGTAGCTAGGGTCAGGAGGGACCTGAACAGATCATCTAGCCTGACCCCCTGCC